TGGGGTAGGTCGCCAAGAATTTTCTAATATTCGGAAATTTTCTTCGTCATTCGGAAATGTTTGGCCTACACCCCCCCAACTATAAATGCTAGCTACGGCACTGGATCAACAGTCGTATATATAAGAAGCGTTTGAAGGTTTCAATAAGCGCCGACGATCAGTGTGAGGCTATTTAGAGGTTGATCAGATTAAAACCTGTCAAATGCACTCAATGAACATGAATGTTTTACATAAGCACACACAACACGACCAGTTGCTAGAAATCCACATCTCGACTCACTGAAATATGTATGTAGATTTGTTCTAAAGCATAATTAAGGTGGAAAGGGTTTAAAAACATTCCATCGATATGGCTAAAATCACAACTTACGTTTCGGCTGGTGTTACAAGTCCGGACTGGTCTGGGGCCTCTTCCTCTGATTCCTCCTGAAAAACAAAACAGACACGTTGATGATGAGATGTTGCTAGCACATGTGCATTGCAATTCTGTGACCAGGCTTTATTCTTGCTTGCACTATGCTGTTGTCTTATTGTAATTTCGTCTAGTTAGTCGTATATGAGAAGATTGCTTCCAGTTTAAAGCTACTTCCAAAAACACTACTAGTTTTCTTCGGATATTCCCAGTTGCTAAAGGACCAATAGGGGATGTCGTTTATTGGGCCTCTAGGAAGAACAGTTTAGAACTGATAGAGCTACCTAGTAAAAAGTCAGTTTAGTTTAGGTTTACCTCAGATTCCTCGGATTCCTCAGATTCAGACTCCAGTTCTCCCCACAGATTGGAGTCAACTAGTTCATCATCCACAATATTCCCATCTGTTTCTTGTACTCCAAATACATCACCGTACAGTGGTCGGCCATGTTCGTCTACTGGAGGCTTACCCCAACCTCCGGCGTGATAACCAAACGATGCTCCCTGGATAAACAGATACAATGTTAAAGTTCACAAGATATCATACACTGTACATGTTTCGCTAATCTGGGTTAAGTAATGAATGCAGACAACGACCCAACATTTTCACACTCCTTTCTAGTGTTGTCGTCAGGCGTGCATAATCCCAGCAAAACTTTAAACTCGTGTCCAAAAAGTGAAGCCAAAAATTGGCGTCCAGTATTAGTCCCTTGCGCGATTAACACAAATTTACACGGAGTATGCCAAAATTTTGTGATTTGATATAAGGGACGGACCATTAGATATTTGAGGGGGGGGGGGGGGGGGGGAAATACCAAAAAAAATTCGCGCACAGAAAAAATCCAGAAAAAAAATATCGTGCACAACAAACCTATTGAAAAAAAAATCGAGCAAGAACTAGGGCTGATTTTTAAAATCGTAATGCAATTATTCTAAAACATTAAAACGGTATTTTTACGACAATCGGAAAAATTTATGAAAAAAAATATCGTGCAAAGGAATGTTGTCGAAAAAAAAATTCTTGCAAGCAATTGGGGGATGAAAAAAAATTCGTGCACAGAAAAATTGCCCCCCCCCCTCAAATATCTAATGGTCCGTCCCTAAAGAATACTATGGTTTCATGAACTGACAATTTAATTAGCGGTACATCCTTATATATTCGCATGGTGTCATTAGCGGAGAAGATGAAAATGATTAGAAATAAAGTATTATCTTTTCCACTGATCGAAAAAACCAACTTGCAAAAGCTGGCTTTCATCCAATCACAATGTTCGACAGTTTATGTTAATTAGACGCAAACAGCGAGCTTGCGGGTTGGTTTAATAATCTTTTTACAAGTTGCTCAGAAAGAAACCACGAACGGATAAAATATCTCCGTTACTTTATATAAACCGTACCTCTGGGATTGGTGCATTCAGTCCTCGTATTTTCAAATTCGGGTACGACGGCGGGGGACCATATCGTTGCATAGCAATCAACCAAGGTGGGGGAACCAAGTTACTTCCCTGAAACAAAGAATATACAAATTAAATCTAAAATTGCTCTGGCAATATTCCCATACAGTCAGGGACCGGTTGTGTGATTTTTTTCAACAACAAAAAAAAAACGCTTGAAAAGCTATTAAAATAGAGATTTTGAAAATTGAAAATTTTCAACCAGACGGAAAATTTGTGTCGGCCAATCATATTTTACAAATGGAAATGGGCCTTAAGATAGAACGTGTCCTTACCTGTCCAGTCGGCATGCCCAATGCTGTCCTTAG